TGTCTTTTGTATCTAGGAGAATAATGTTTAATGATCTTTAGAAGCAGAAATAAAAATTTTAATTACTTAAAATATCCAATTTTGTTGTTAACAGACTTTATGCAGTGTCCTCGGTGAATGTTATACTCCTGCTTTAAAATGTGAAGTAAATGTAGAAGGGAGAGAGAATTCTGGTGCTTACACTTCTGAAAATCAAGAACCAGAGTTACGAGATTGTAGATATGAATTTCAAGGTAGTAAAAGCTTACCACACTATTAAACAGTATTTAATTTTCTTAAATAAATTGATGACAGTTATTTTACCTTTAATTATGATTTAATCACTCAGCCAGGTTGAGTTTATTATCTTAACATCTTGTCCTTTCAGATTCATGGAATCTTATGTTTAATATACATTTTTAATTTTTATAATGCAATAATTGTGATATGAAGATAATTGATGCTGTTTACAAATTTGCTTGTCTTTATTCTTTATTCCTCTACTCCCATCTTTTTCCTCATTCTAATTATTTTCTTTAACTCTTTATATCATAGATCAAGTCTTTAAAAGTTATTGTATTTATTGAATAAGTTTATGTCAGTGATTTATTATTTTAAAAATGAATAAGAAGAAAATTGAAAAATAAGAAATATATTAAATATCTTTCTTAATACAAATCTGGCATTAGTTTATTTTTACAAACTGTACCCTCAAATATTTTTGGTGTTCCTTCACAGATAAAAATGTGTCCTAGCCCTGTCCATTTATATGGATAATGAACAAAATGTATACAAATTAATGAATACCAAAGAGAAATTTAACATATTTTAATATGAAATTTTCAAATTGTGTTTGTAGCCGGTGTTTCATATCAATGAGATTTTAATTTATGGTTACTAAATATATGAGATTTACATCCAGTGGGCAATTTTCTAAAGTTATAAATAGGTGAATGATATTTATTGGAAGATGCAGACTTTTACTGTGGAGTGAAATTAGTATAATTGTCTGTTTATCATTTAGACCTTCAAGAAAACTTGCAAACTCTTCTCAACAAAGTTACAGAAGAATGCAACAAACTCTTGGTACTTCAGAAACGATTAAGCAAGGTCTGTGAAATGGGAAATGTATTATAGTGTTCGTGTTTATTCTATTACCTGCTGTTCTGTAAGCTGCTTTATCAACCAAGAATTTATAAAATAAGTGAACATGAAAAGGAGAGTGGGAAAAGTGATACATAGTGATAGCAGAGAATTTGTATCAGTAACTGAAGGCATTTATACAAGTCGAATAATATTTAATCCTTTCAGAGAGTTTTTGAAATCACAAATTAAAAAACATAAGATATCAAATTGTAAGCTATGTGAAATGATTCCATTTAATTTTATATATAACATAAAATTAAAGCAATGGGTCTTTCTGTTTTAGAGAAAACTGGTAACTAGCTCAGTTGTTTAGCACATAGCTAATTAGTTTCACACAGTGTAATCTGTGTCAGTTTTATTTTCAAGCAGTTTTAAAAATGTATTCATAGAAAACTAGGTAAGATAGTATACATGATTTAGTAAAATTTATTAACTATATCAGAAAAATAACTTTAAAAACATAACAAAAAATAACAAAGAAATAACTTATTGGTAAGGATAAGTGTTGTAATTCTCATGTTGTAGAAAAAAAATTCAGAGAGATTGTTTATTTGGGGTGCTTTTCGATGTTCAATTATATTAAAATGTTTAGACAGATTTGAAAGATTTTTTTTTTTAATTTTTTTTAAAAATAGAGACAGGATCTCGCTCTTGCTCAGGCTGGTCTCAAACTCCTGAGCTCAAGCTATCCTCCCACCTCGGCCTCCC